CAGCAGTGCGCATCCACGGTTAGGGCGTTCGCGCACAATACCGAAGGTCCTGGGTTCGAATCCTGCGGGATGCAGGACTGAAGAAACGGCCGTCCAGTGCTTCCAGGTTTCTAATGGTGATCTAACATTGATCGATTCATGGTTTCAAAAAAATTTCGTATACATTGTAATCTTGTCAAAAAGTATAATTATTGGTTTATCAGCGTGAGTAAATACTTAAAAATCCATGTTTATGCACTGCTCTGCTGATAATTATCCACAGTAAAAATGTACATGTTTTTTCATGTCTTCTGTTTTTCTGCTTTTTTTTTCAACCTACATCAGAAATAGAACTAGTCGATTCTCTCCCCGAAGTTCAAAAGAAAAATCTCCACCCTCTACATCTAGTCTTGATGAAGATGAAGTGAATGATGTCCAGCAAAAATTAAACAATCTTCAATCATTATTTATACAAACGAAAAATCAAATTGATTTGTCAACCATTGACCAGAATGATTATGAGAATATAAATAAAGTTGATCAGAGACTTCAATCAAATAATCAGTCAGATGAAATGAATCAATCTAAGGCTGATGAGATGAATGCAGAAGAACACAAAGAAAATATTGATGAACATGATTCATTTGTAAATTTACCGAATTATGCGACATTTTCTGTGAAAAAATCTCATCAATATGCTGTGGAAAATTGGCTATTTTCTAATTTCAATCATATTTAACTACTTATTTGTGAAAAAAGTAGTTAGAAACTTTTTTTCTTGATTTTTGTTCAGTAGATTTTTCTATCATACTGAAATTAAATATTCCTTTTACTTTGTCTTGAAAATTTATCCTGTCATCATAAATAGCATTTGTATGTATGATTTTCTTTGTAGCGTTAGATTGTAAAGATCCTTTATTATGCTGATAGAAGTTCACAATTGTCTTATTTACTGCCAGTGGAAAAATTCATCTGGACAGGATCGATACCAGTAGACAGTATGTTAGATTTCTCATAAATCAGGGACTTTATAGCTTGTGACCAGTGGAGTTTAACCCTCTTGGGAATCAAGAGGTACCCACCGAAGACTGTGGGTGAGTTTGTTTACGACATCAACACAGTTGAACTCAGTGGTCTAGATGATTAAGAGTTCACGCAAAATATATAAGATCCTGGGCCCGATTCCTGTGGTTGCGGGTTGTAGATCTGCACTGCTGATGAGTTCCATTATAGGACTTGACGGATTTCCATTACTTCGAGGTTTTTATTAATAGTCTAACATTGATCGATTGATGATTTCAAAATTTTATTTAGGATAATAAAGCAAGACAATCATGGATTCCTACTAGTTGACTCCATACCATTTGTCATCAATAAATAATTTCTGCATGGAATATTTGATTGATAGCAAACCACTCGAATGTAAACTGCCTAGAATATATGTGGTTTGTGCTACTTATACGAACGATATAAGTAGTATAAGAAGGGACGTGAAAGCAGAAGTCTCACGGTCAGAAGAGGAAAACGGAAAGCAAATGGAGCAAAAGCAAGAAGTAAATGGAGTACCAACAGGAAGCAAAGGTAGCAACAACAGGAATGGAAGAAGGATGGAGCGTTGGAAGTCACGACTCAAAGATGGTGTGCAAATAGAGTGTTCAATGTAATGTTTTCGTTTTTAATTGACTAAGAGTGTAAATTTGCATAATACAATCTTCCGGACCTGCCTCAGTCTTCTCAAATAATACTTATGTACTGTGTAATACATTATATTTCAATGTAACACAGTCTTATAGTTACGCTATCCTTTGTTATAATTAGGTAACTGTAATGAATAAGACATATATTGACTATACCGAAAGCATGTCGTCGCAGAGAAATAACTTTATAACAATCCCTCACTAATAATCATTATTACTTTGTCCAGTCGATAGTTTGCTTATTTATACACATGACTTAGTGGTGAAGATCAGTTGTTTTTTTTTGACTTAAGAAAATCCAACGCAGTTAGTCGATAGTCCTAGATTTAAGTTTCATGTTATTCAATACACATTTTCTGCAATCTTGAGGGGATTCGATGTCTTTATTAGGTTTGACCGTGTATCATTGAGTATTTTAATTAATGACTGTTTCTTGAGGGACCTGAAAAGGCAGATAGATTAGTGTTTGTCTCATAGGCCTAGGAGCGTGACCTCGGAGCCCAAGGGAAAACTGCTTGAGGCCGGTCACGCACGGCCTTTTTTATGAAAGGTTAATTAATGACTGTACTGTATAACTACTACATCGATCACATACATAACGTCAATAATGAATATGCCAACTTCTACTTTGCAATCGACTCGATACAAACGAATAATACTGTTTTATATATTCTAACAAAAATTATTTATTTCATTGTTCTATTCAAATAACACTGTTTTATAATCATAATAAGAAAAATATAATCGACAGTTTTTTCATTTTCTTCGTTTACTTGAATTTGATCGACTTTTCGACCCGGATTTTTGACTTCTTGATGATTTTGTTCGTTCACGTTTTTTGCACTCTTCTACAACAGGAGCAACAACAGCTGATTCTGTTAAAGGTTCAATAGTTGATTGATTCAATGATGATAGTAATTCTTTTTCAATTTTATATTGTTTAATGATATTATTTCTGTAGGTCATACATGTTTCATAGTATTTATAATGTGCTTCATCATTTAAAAACTATTGATTAACAAAAAATATAGAAATGATTACAACACAATTTTAGTTAATATTTACATATATATTGAACAATGAACATTCAAAGTGTAAAGCAACAACTTGAGATGATTTAAACATCAATCATCTTATCAAACCGAATAACATCGTGTAAGCTCATTCTGTTTAGTCATATAGAGTTAACTTGCATTACGGGGTTGTGAAGATTGTTAAGTTACACATTTTCGAAACCATGAATCGATCAATGTTAGACCACCATTAGTAACCTGGAAGCACTGGACGGCCGTTTCGTCCTGGTATGGGACTCATCAGCAGTGCGCATCCACGACCCCTGCACCCCGCAGGATTTGAACCCAGGACCTTCGGTATTGTGCGCGAACGCCTAACCATCGGACCACTGAGCCGGTATCTAACAGTGTTAATGTCTAACTTGATCAATTCACGGAGTTGCGCAACCTCATACACAGTTTTCGGTAGTTACTGTTTACACCCGAACAGGTTGAACTTCACGGCTCACGTCTTCCCACTAGAACTCGGAGGAGTCCCATACCAGGACGAAACGGCCGTCCAGTGCTTCCAGGTTTCTAATGGTGGTCTAACATTGATCGATTCATGGTTTCAAAAATGTTTAATACAAAGTTAACGTCAGAAATTTATTGAAATATATGTCAACACACAATAAGTCATGAATGAATTGTGAACTTGGCTAAATTAATGTGTATATGCAGTGCTTACCTTTCATGTTGAAGCTATTGTGGTCTCTGAGGTGTTTGCTTAAGTTGCAAAGCTACCATTGTCTATTCTCAGCAGGCCATTTATGCTTTAGTATTTATAAATATTTGAGTTTTCCTGTGACGTAATTGGCTATGTTACTGTTAGGATATGCATCAAATATCCTACGAAGAATCATTTCGTAAGTGTAAATTTTATTGGTCGATTCCTATTAGTCAATATTGTGGTCGTCCTGACTATCAATGTCACTTCAGATGTTTTTTCCTATTGGTCACCTTAACTGTCAATGTCACAGACTTTGAAGCTGTTTCCTTTTCGATCTAAATGTATACATACGCATTATCTGTAACGTTTCAGGACCCAGATCCTTAGTCCAGGATCCTGCTTCTCTCCTGGACTCGAGCCTCGTACTTTCTGGATGCTTGTAGAATACAGGTTCTACTTCGTATCAAGTCTTCTTCATTCACTCATTGGGGGCTTGAGACACTCGGAAAAGGGTAGCATGTCGTGTCGCCGGATCATCGATCCTCGCTCTCGTTTTCCGACTAAGGTAAACTCGTGATTGGTCAAGCATATCCAGTTGACATGTTTACGTGTTTTCGTAACAGTTATCAATTATTGAGCCCCTACGGGACTATAGCCGATCCAAAAACCGGATAAAAGAGGAGGGTTGGGTATCAGATTAGCAACCCCATCCCACAGAAAACTAACTCGCTAAAAAAACACTAACCAGAAAAAATCTATTTCCTCTTATCCGAGATTCGTCGACTCAATATACTTGCATTAGGTGTTGATCTCAACACTAAGACATTCAATTAGTACCGTAACAAAGATACCTAACATTAGTATTAATCCCACCGTTAAGGTTAACACATGCACACCCATACAAAGCAGTATTACTTCAAAAGGTAGCTTTTTTATTGAAAACTTATACCAACCAGAGAAGTGTTAAAAATTATACAATACTGAACAAGTATAACATCGCCTGACGTTCTTCTGAGGTTACTCCAGGTCCCAAGTCTGGATAAAGGAGGAGGGTTGGACATAGGTTCATAGAACCCATGTCGTAGTAAACCAATTGGCTGCATAAACGCTAACCAGAAAAAAAAATTTGCTGGTTGGCGGTCTATACTCCATTACGGCTAACAAGCGTAATTAATTAAGCAAGTAAGTAAGTTAATAGCTGATGAACTATTCTAGTATAATCCAAACACATGTATGATAGTATGAATGTCTATTTTTGGTGTGTAAAATGTTTAATAATTTACCTGAATGGTTTTTAACATTTCAATATAATCTTGTTGATATTGACTACGTTTCTGTTTATAATTCATGCATTCAATTTCTAATTTTTTCATAAATTCATCAAATATTTCACGTTTAATTTTCAATATTTTATCTAAATCTTTACTTGATAATAAATTCATTTGTTTTAAATATTGTCTAACAATAAACCATTGATCTGTATGTGGACCAATTAAATTTTCCGCTTCTTTAATTCGTTTCAATTCAATTTCATTTGGTTTATGATAGAATTTGTTTAAATCCATTGGTTTCACTTGACTAATTGTACGATTTAATTCTTGCGGGAATGTTAAAACATAAATTTTCGCTGGGTCTGATGTCAACTCTATGGATGAATCTTCTTTGATAATTTGTATTTGACTATCTAGATAAAGTTTGTTAAAATAAAGCAATGACTTGAAATTAAATCATACCAATCAGTAAAAAAAGTTTTTTTTCAAAGGAATAGTTTATAAAATAGTTGACTATGATGTTATAAACTATAAGTTTAGGTTTTACGCTGAGGTTTTTTAAACATTTTTTCTCATTTTACCATAAAAACGCATAAAGCACTGGATAGCCGTCTGAGGCAGGCTCGTTAGATTGTAGTTGGCATATTTACACTCTTAGTCAATTAAAAACGAAAACATCACATTGAACACTCTATTTGCACACCATTTTTGAGTCCTGACTTCCAACGCTCCAGCCTTCTTTTATTCCTGCTGTTGCTTCCTTTATTTCCTATCGATGCTCTATTTATTTATTGTTTTTGCTCTATTTGCTTTCCGTTTTCCTCTTCTGACCGTGAGACTTCTTTCACGTCCCTTCTCATACTACTTATATCGTTCCTATAAGTAGCACACACCACAGCCTTAGTGCTGGACTCATAAGTAATATGTATTCACGACCCTTGGATACAGGAGCTGAAGCTAGGAAATTCGATCTCTCATGTGAATTCTTAAATTCATGACGACTTAGTCGATATACAATAGTGTTGGTGCTTGACTTCAATCATTGCATGTTCTTGCACAACCTTCATCCACCGCCTGCATTGGATAACTCTCTCATACTTGACAGTAGAGCTTAATCCGTGTTGAGTAGGAGACAGTTATCCACTGCAAAAAAATGGATGAAGTTTATGCGAGATCATGGATTAATTGAAGTCAGACATCAACACCACTGGATCGCTAATCAATGGTCTAATGCCTAAGCGTTTCAGGTGCGAGGCTAAAGGTGCTGCGTCTAACTCCTTTAATATGGAGGTCGGAGTGCGCACTGTTGATTAGCTCCATACTGGAACAAAACGACCATCCGGCGCTTCGAAGTTTCTAACTATGGTCTAACGAAGATGGCTTGGTGGTTTCATCAAACGCTTATTTTTGAACCTCAGTCTATTATTGTTTTTCTAATCAATTTCAATCCACTGTATACACAAAAAATCTAGTCCTTACGAAAATGATTGCTGGGATACACTGTTTTTTCTTCCTAAATATCTCACAAGTAGTTACAACTTACAATCTTGCTGTAATTTATTAACAGTTTATAGTATAATTAATTTATTTAGTGCCATGAGACCCTCTGATGAGTTAGATAAGGTTTCAAACTTTGCCTGGAGTCCACTTAAGATTACTGCAGGTTCCAAGCCCGAATAAATGAGAAGTCCGAGGCATGGGATTAGCAACCGCATCCTGCAGAAATCCAACTTGCCAAAAAAGCTCTAACCAGAAAAATAATTTGCTAGTTGATTAGCTATGTTCCACTAGGGATAACAGTTAGTAAGTTAGTAAGATTTGTTTTTTTTCAGTTGGCGGTTGGAATTCAGTTACTGAGTTAAAACTTACAGTATCTAATTTCATTTACAAGAATTGTAGCTACAGAGAAATGTAACATAATTACAAGCAGAAAAAGGTTTCTCAGTATACGAGATACTAAAATCTTTTTAAAAACAAGGAGAAAATAATTCAAAGTCTGAGTAGATGAAAGTTAACTTAAGAATGATAACAAAGTTCAGAACACAAAAAAGAACAGCGTTTTTCATTATAGAGATTTTCGTTGATTCCTGAAATCATGAACCAATCATTATGAGAGCACTATTAGAAACCTAAAAACACGGAACGGCTTTTTCATCCTGATATGGAATTCACCAGCAACGCGAGTCCGCAAAATTCTGCTACTCACAGGATTCGAACTCAGGACTTTTGGTCGAACGCCTAAACTCTGGGTTATTCGTCGATGTGCACTGCCGATGAGTCCCATACAACGACGAAACATCCGTCTAGTGCTTCAAGGATTCTAATGGTGGTCTAACAATGATTGATTCACATTTCAGAATCCCATGTTAACTGAATGGTCTTTGAAATTCCGATTGGATAATGTTAACAGTTATCAATCACTACTGTTTCATTTTTACATTCATAAACTATAGCTTATAAAATCCTATACACAGTTTGAGTAGCCATATAATGTATCGATTGTTTCAAGAATACAGATAAACATAGTTTATGATTAGACAATGAACACGAAATCTAAGTTAAACAAAGTTTCCCAATTGTGATTGTTTGAAAAACAGCATATGTTTACACAATTGAAAACATCGATCGACCATTGTTAGACCACCTTTAGAAACCTGGAAGCACTGGACGGCCGTTTCGTCCTGGTATGGGACAAATCAGCAGTGCGCATCCACGACTCCTGCTCATCGCAGGATTCGAACCCAGGACCTTCGGCATAGTAAGCAAACGCCTTACCATCGGACTACTGGGCCGGCATCCAACGGAGTCGTGGATGCGCACTGCTGGTGAGTCCCATACCAGGACGAAACGGCCGTCTTTGAGTGCTTCCAGGTTTCTAATGGTGGTCTAACAATGATTGATTGATGATTTCAAATGTGTAAAAAAGCAAACCTCCAAAACTCTGCCCCAAAATATCATATATTTAGTTAAATATTTTAGAAGTTTTATTCATTCAAAACTAACCGTCGGATTTAACTGTTACCACTGATTCTGTATCATCCATAATAGTTTTATTATCCAATTTATCATTGAATAGACCGTATTCTTGAAGATAATTTGCTCTTGACAATTCAGCTCTTTTTGCTCGACCAGGTTCCATTTCTTCCCATGCTCTTTTTAAAGCTTTAATTTCCGAGATTTTATTTTCTGTATTAATAATTTTAATATCATTCTAAGAAAAATAGTAACAAAAGTTGATAATATTCTTTGAGAATAAAAATCCAAGATAATCGTATCCATGAAATACAGTATTATTTAAACTAAATAATAATAGTTACTTATGAGTAGTATAAAATTAATTACAAAAATGTGCTGAATTGAATGAACATTTCTTACAAATCTATTCAGATAAGTCGGTACCCGTCCATTGTGAAACTGTTCATTCACATTAGAATGTAATATTTGAATTCTTTAAGTGATCCAAGGAATCCCATTTGAATCTTGATACATTAAAATTAAAAATATACTCTTGAAAAATCTGTGTTGTATTAATATATCGAGTGCACGTAGTTTATCTTCGTCTTCTGACTAATTAATGCTGAACAAAACTTCCAGTGATTCATCATCTAGGTCGTCTGAGGTTTTGCCAGGTGTATATGCTTATATTGATGACATACCAGTAGCTAGCACGACAGTGAAAGGACACTTACAATAACTAAGACAGTTATTTGTAAAACTTCAGTAATATAGTGTTCCTATTAACGTCGATAAGTATAGATTTCGAAAGGAATCACTGCAATTCCTGGGTCATATGATAAATACTCAAAGTACTAACTGTCTGTCAATTACCCTTATCATGTTGGGCTCTCCATTTCTATATAGTGGAGAAGGTAAGTGGGTCAACCTAAGGCAACAAAGCGTGAATAAATATTCATAGTCAAGCGAAAATAAACTGGACATATGATAAGCAAAACGAGCAATGCATATACGTACTCAAGTAAAAGCAACCAGTGTTGTAAACGAATAACTGACATGGTTGAAAGACCTCTGAATAACTCGAATAGAAGGGGTTAATTAATTTGTTCACAGGATCAAACAAATCATACTAGCTTGACATATTTTTTAGTACACAATGCAAATAAGTCGATTACAATACGATCTACATTTGAGAAATTAGTGAAATATACACATTCAATTTAATAATGAGATTTTCATAAAATTGATGTAAACGATAGTTTAATGTTATTTTGCTATTGTGCATTATTCATGTTAGTTATATGTTCTTATTTAACACTTATTCACTTACTGAGTCGTTTTGTATATAATTTCGCCCCTTCTAATCTCAAACTTGAATAAAGGAGGCAAGTTCGGCATAGGGTTAGTGTTAGGATATTCATCTAATATCCTAAGAGAATTATTTGTAAGTCTAATTCTATTGGTCGATTCCTATTGCTTAATTCCTACTGGTCGTCCTAACTGTCACTGTCACAGACTTCAATGTTGTTTTCTGTGACGTTTTACCACCCGGATCCGGATCCCTAGTCCAGTATCCTGATTCTCTTCTGGACTCGAACCTAGTACTTTCTGGATGCTTGTAGAATACATGTTCTACTTCATATCAAGTCTTCTTCTTTTTACTCAATGTGGGGATTGGGACAATCGGATTAGAGTAGCATGTGGTGTCGCCTTATCCTCGATCCTCGCTCTCGTTTTCCAACTAAGGTAAACTCGTAATAATTCCAGCATACACGCCATACCTTGCTAGCAATCGCTGAGATTTCTACATACTTTTTGTCTCAATAACTGTGCACCTATAAGCTTAAGATTAAATTGATTACCATCAGAAAAATTGTTTCCAATGAACCATCGTTAAACATTCTAAGCTAAAAACACCCAGCTACTTACAGGATTATTGCATATAATTCGCATTTTCCAATGAGCTTGGTTGAAATCGATTTTTGCTGAGGCACTACGTGTGGAACCTGACTTTTGATTCGATAATCCGGCTGTTTTATTTCCAGACGATTTAGTTGCTGATTTAATAGTTCTGCTATCGGAACTTCTTTCAGCTGAAGTACTTCGAGAAGTAGTATTGTTTACTGACAAAGAAAGAAATTGAATTTATTAGATTAACAATATTGAAGAAATCTATTTCGTCTGGACACATAATCGTCTATTGTAGTGGTCATTTCTTACAATGAAATGATGGTTTGAATCACTGAATTACTGTTAGGATATTCATCCAATATCCTAAGAGAATTATTGGTCTATTCATATTGGTTAATTACTACTGGTCAATTTTAAAGTCGTCCTAGACATCAGTGTCACGTGCTCCAATGTTGTTTCTTATTGTTTGTCCTGACTATCAATGTCACTTCAAATGTTGCTTCCTATTGGTCGTCTTAACTGTCAATGTCACAGACTTCGATGCTGTTTCCTATTCGACCAAAATGTATAAATACGCATTATTTGTAACGTTTTATGACCACGACCAGGACCCGGTCCCGGATCCCTAGTCCGGGATCCTGATTCTCTTCTGGATTCGGATCTCGTACTATTTGGATGCTTGTAGAACACAAGTTCTACTTCATATCAAGTCTTGTCTTCTTTTACTCAATGAGGAGGGATTGGGACAGTCGGATTTGAGTAGCATGTCATGTCGCCGGATCCTCGATCCTCTCTCTTTCGTTTTCCGATTAAGATAAACTCTTAATAATTCAAGCATATCAAGTGGACGTGTTATGTGCAGGCGTAACAATTACTTACGCTCGTTAACCTTAATGGAGCATAGGCCATTAACCAGAAAATTATTTTTTCTCTCTAGTTTTATTTTCAGTGAGTTTATTTTTTCTACAAGATGCAGTCGCTAACCCCATACTGAACACTTCTTCCTTACTCCAGCTCGGGACCAAAAGTATCTCTAGAAGGGCTCCAAGCGGAGTTGAGGGCTTAAATGGCTAAAGTATTTAGTATTTCAAATGGTAAGTTGAGGTTTCCCACTGAATCTGTTTCCGGCTAAACCTGTAGGAGTGTAAGTGGTGGGAAAAAGTCAAATACGGATTAAGTAGACATAAATTTATTTCATAAACTCGTTTATACAGATAGATATTTGAATGAAAAGCAGGAAAAATGAAGAAAAGCACAGAAGACGAATGTATTAATTTCAAATGATAAAAAGTGAATAATTACTTATAAGTTAGACAAAAAAATAGTCAGACTTTTGATTAAACACATGACCAAGTCAAACTATATGCGAACAATAAATGACAAACAGACAGACAGATACAACGTAGAACTTCGTACGTAAGTACATCAGTTCAGGTTGCCATACCGCATTAGAACAGAGACGCAACTGTCAGTTCAAATCCAATAGAAGAGGCGATAGTAGAAGTATTAGCAGTAATGGAGAAGATTAGGGAGCGAAGATATGATTCGAGAAGTATAATTCAGTGAGATAAATTTAGAAGGAGAAAGACAGAGATGATGAGGAATTCATAAGGTTAGAATTCGACAGAACACAAGTAATGAATGCACCTGCACCATTTCAAACGATTGTGAGCCATGTCGTTCAAGGTCTCTAACCATCGGTTCCTTTCGACTTATGGACCCCAACCAGGTAGCCTACGTCTGCTAACATGACTCAGTCCACTTCTCGTTGATTTCATGGATTTGTGCCGTGTTTTGGTTTAGCCGCCCCTAGCTTTCTTCCAACCTACTCCTAGTCCATAAAACAGCTCGAACAGACAGTCGACGGTTGAATATTCATAACACATGTCCCAAACACCTCAACTGATGGAGTTTCACTACTTCATCTATTGATCTGCCATCCCTAGAACTATAAATGTAGAAGAATAGGTTGATTAGTCTGTCTGGAAATTTAGAATAACCCATCTGGGCTTGACATAAAGAATCATCTTGACCAAATTAATAAATCACCGACTCACACAAGACACCATTCATTTTTGTTATTATTCATTGGCCATATGATTTTTCAATAGCCGATGACATCATAACCCTTCCTTATCTTATTTATTTAGATATTTTCACATAGTTTCACGAACTCCACCTGGAGCCCCCCTAGGACTACTACCTGTCCCAAGCCCGAATAAAAGAAGAGGATTAGACATGAGATTAGCGACCCCATCCAGCAGAAAACCGACTCAGTGAAAAAACGCTTACTGGAAAAAAATAATTTGCTGGCCAGTTGTTGTTGAAATTGTTGTATTTCATTGAAATCATTGTTAGACCACCATTAAAATCCTGGAACCGCTAGATAGCTGTTTCGTTCTGGTATGAGACTCATCAGCAGTACGCATTCACTACTCCTTATCCCAGTAACCGAACCCAGGACGTTCGGTCTTGCGCACTAACCACTGGTATCCGATGGTGTTAATGTCTGACGTGGATCAATCGTTGATATTACACAACCTCATTTATTGTGTTCGGGAGATGCTGTCTACACCCGACAGGGTTGAACTCCACTGGTTACAGGTTCGCATTAGAACTCTGAAAATTTTCCTTAATAAGCTAGTCAATAGTGAGCACACTGTATGGATCCACATTGCTGCATATGGCCAACAGAAGTGCCTCTAAGCATATAAAAATTCCTCTGATGCCACACAACATGCACCATCCAAATCACATTTGATGAAGAAGATAAAAAAGGTGTATCTGACGCCGATGTAAAGACACAGATTCGCAAAGCAAGGGGAAATCTTCAACTCTAAACAAATGTCTGTCAGCCAGCACCAAACTCACAACTTCCAATACGTTCTACAATATGAGGTGGAAACTTGGAGAACTACGAAAGCCATCATCCAGAAGATACAAGTGCATATTAACAGTTGTCTACACAAAACACTTCGAATTCGTTAGCTAGACTCCATTGGTAATAACCTATTTTGGGAGAGAACAAGCCAGATTTGAATTGAGGATCAAATTAGGAGAATGCACTGGAGATGGCTAGGATATACATTGAGGAGATCACCCTGAGAAGACTGAGGCAGGCGAGGAGGATCGTATTATGCAAATTAACACTCTGAGTTAGTTAAAAATGAACACATTACATTGAATACTCTATTTACACACAATCTTTGAGTCGTGACTTTCAACGCTCTATCCTTCTTCCATTCCTGTTGTTGATTCCTTTCCTTCCTGTTGGTACTCCATAAACTTCTTGCTTTTGCTCCATTTGCTTTCCGTTTTCCTCTTCTGACCGTGAGACTTCTTTCACGTCCCTTCTTATACTACTTATATCGTTCGTATAAGTAGCACACACCACAACCCAACTGCATCACAAAACATGCCCTCACTTGGAATCCTCAAGGCGAAAGGAAAAGAGGAAGAGCAAAGCACAAATTAATCTGAGAAGTTGGAACAGACATAAGAAGAATGGACAACAGCTGAACAGAACTAGAAAGGAAGGTTCAGGACCGAGTAGGTTGGCGAATGCTGGTCGGCTACCTACTCTGCATTAGAGGTAACAGGTTCACGTAAAATAAGTAAGAACTCGACAAGAATAACATTGTTCAATCAATATAAAATCACATTAACTACTGAACTATGAATAATGCTTTTTCCAAAACGTATCATTTAACTAACCTTGACATTCTTCAAGTTTAATCCAACGTTGTTCTTCTAAAAATGCCCAATTACTTATACTTAATGGCCAATTTTCACTATCAACATAAGCTTCAATCCAATAATATTGTTCTTCTTCCCGTGTTTGTTCTTCGCCTTGATTGTCTAAACTATGCGACTTTGGTAAATTAATAGTTGGTGATAGTTCAGATTGTTGATTTTGTCGTTGTTCTCTATTAGCACTATGAATACTACTGGAACTTTGACCACTTCCAGTTGTACTGCTACCACTAGTTGAACTGCCCGAACTACTCTGCATGTTGGTTTGATTGAAATAGAGAGAGAGAAAATATTTACATGTTTATACTGTTATCAATTATTCAAATGATCAGATGTAAGAAATTTCGTCTGAAGCCATTCTGGGGTACCGGATGGTCCAAAGCCTGAATAAAGGAGAAGGTTGAGCATGGGGGGTTAGCTAATGAGAGAAAATAATGCTAGTTGGCGGCCTATGCTCCATTGGGGGTGACAGGTGTAAGTAAGTAGGATGCAAGAAATTTTTGATCAGTTCATTATTTACAGTCTGATCAAACGTTCATATTTTCGTTCAGTTAACCATCACAGTGTTGTGAATCTAATCTACAACGTTGCATAAAAATAGTATGTAACGGATTGTCAATGAAGTCATGAATCGATCAGTGTTAGAGCAACACTATAAAGTCTGGAAGTACTGGATGGTCGTTTCGTCACCAATAAACATCCACGACCTCAACAAAAGAAAGCAAATCCAAGACCTTCAGTCTAGTACACAAACACTTAAACTCTTCACCGTTTGTATGAAGATCAAACTTCTACCCAAACTTATTATGACAGTTATCATTTGCTCACTAATGACTAGATTCGTGAGAGAATTTCTAAAGTTGTAGTGAGAAATCATGACCAGTGCAGTTCAGATGTGTTGATTGTGAGGCAGTTACCCATCAAACACAATAGATGACGGTGATGAGATATCGTGGATTGATTTAAGTCAGGAAATCAACACTCTTGGATGTCGACTCACTGGTCTAGAGGTTAAGTGATCATGCATGAGACCGAAGCTTCTAGGCTCGGCTCTCTGTGGTGGTATCGTAGATGCACAGTGTTGATGAGTTCCATTTTGGATAAATAAATGGGATTTAGATTTTCATTATGGAAGAAATTGTGAGACATGTAGTTCATCACTGTTGGTAATGAGGTAATGCCCGCCGACACATCAAATAGGGTCGCTCAAAAGGCAGTGAATTGGTTGAGGTAAGACCAGAACACAGTTGGATGCCTCCGGCTAAGTGATCAACAAGTTAAGCGTTTGTGCCGTAGACCAAAGGTCTAGAGGCTCAATTCCTTGTGACAGTATCATGGATGTGCACCGATGATGAGTCTCATATTAGAAAAAAGCTAGGTAAAGGTTTTAATAAACCTTAGTATACACCTTTGAACGCTTTTATTGAGTATCACCAAAATCGAGTTAAGATAAATCTTATGATCTGTTTTAATTAGTGTGCTTAGCCTGAGAGGATGGTGGGTGCCTTTTAATTACTTATTTACGAGCACCTGTTAGCCCTAGTGGAGCATGGTCAACCGACCAGCATTCTCCAATGTATTCTGTTCAAGGCCTTCTTTTCCAGTTCTAACCAAGTACTGTTATTTCTTTTGATGTCCGCTTCCAATTTTCGGCGTAATGTGTTGTTTAGTCTTACTCTTTTGCTTTGAGGCCTTGCCTTGTGGCTCAGTTGGGTAATTTCCCCAGTGTGTGTCCAATCCACCTCCAGTGCTTTTTCCTGATCTCTTCGTCTGCCAGAATCTAGTTTGTTCTCTCCCACAACAGATTGTTAGATAGTGTCTGGTTAACAAATATGAAGTATTTGGTGTAGACAACTGTCAATAAACACTTGTATCTTTTGGATGATGGTTTTTGTGGTTCTCCAAGTTTCCGCCTTATACAGTAGAACTGTCTTGATATTTGTACTGAAAATTGTGAGTTTGGTGCTGGCTGACAGACATTTGTTTAGAGTTGAAGATGTTCTTCAGTTGTAGAAATGCTGACTTTGTTTTTCAAATCTCTGTCTTTACAACAGCGTCAGATCCACCTTGTTTTGCAATTATACTCCATATATGTATATGAAGCAAGCTGCATCTTCCATAGCTTCTTCATCAAATGTGATTTGGATGGTGCATGTTGTGTTGTGTCGGAGAATTTTTCTGTGTATGTTGAAAGGCACTTTTGTTCGAGCTTCTGCTACACTGGCTATCTTCTTTTCATTTGTTGTTGCGTGTGAGATAGAAGAGCTATATCGTCTGCGAAGTCTAGATCATCAAGCTGCAACCGAGCTGTCCTATGGATCCTGATCTTCCCCGTAGATGTTGACGTCTTCACAATCCAGTCGATCACCAAGAGAAAGAGAAAGGATGAGACTACGCTTGACATCGGTCTTTATTTCGAACGAGTCTGTGAGCTGTATGTTTGACTTTTCTACACTCAAAAATCTATTGTAATGTCGTCCTCAATGTGATCGTTTTTATTTGTAATACACTGTTTTCTTTTAAATAAATACTCATTCACATAAAATATATAAGTTTATGAGATAACACGCTTTTGAAATCATTCTACAGACATAATATTCTGTTTGTAAAGTTGGATATATTTGGATATTCCACGAGACTAAGAAAACCACACCTGTAACCCTTCTGGTGTAACGCATGGTCAAAAGCCTGGATAAAGGAGGATGGTTGGGCATGAGGTTAGCGAACCTATCTCGTATAAATCCAACTCACTAATAGGTCACAACTCAGAAAAATAGTTTGATCGTCGGGTGCCTATGCTCCATAAGGGGTAACAGGCGTATAAAGTAAGGAAGTAAGTAATAAGACTAATAACCGTGACGAATACAGTTTCATAATCAGTGAATATCATGTTGTAGTGGTCAATAAATCAATCAAAATAAATAGTTCTGTAGGTTATCGACATCAATGCTAATCTCATTAATTTAATACACACAGTCTAACTGAAAGTACTCGGTCACACAACCACACTGGATCATCGTTAGGTGTGCCAGCTGACGCATCTTTTCACATCATCTAACAGGTTTAGTTCTCTCACATCCCAACAATTATTTAAATATATTCTTCAATCATTTTCATTCCTGACTTCTTCTTGGTTCTTTTTGAACTTATGAATCGATCATCAATCGAAACCTGGAAGCTCTGAACTGCTGTCAAGCGTTGGTATGAGACTCCTAGTTGGACTCAGTTATGGGTATAATCGATTAGAAAACTATTACAGACAAAAACACTATTAAACTGTTTAAATAACAACTTCAAAGTTATTTAATGTACATCAACGCATAACATATAAAAATTATAAATATCACAAATTCAATTTCAAACAAACGCTTATTCTCATTGACAAAATCAGGCGAATTCAGCTTATTCGAAATCATGAGTTGATCAAGGTTAGACAACCATTAGAAACCTGAAAGCACTGGACGGCCGTTTCGTCCTGGTATGGGAATCATCAGCAGTGCGCATCCACGACTCCTGTACCCCGCAGGATTCGAACCCAGGGCCCTAGGTCTTGCGCGCGAATGCCTAACCTCTGGACCACCGAGCCCGTATCTAACAGTGTTAATGTCTAACTTCAATCAATTCACGGAGTTGCGCAATCTCACACACTGTCTTCGGTAGTTACTGTCTATACCCGAACAGGTTGAACTTCACTGGTCATACCAGAACAAAACGACTGTCCAGTGCTTCCAGGTTTCGAATGGTGGTGTAACAGTGATCAATTTATGATTGCAAATGTGTAACTTAACAACCCTGTAATAGAATTCAACTTACTCCAGGTTTTACAATTTTCTTCATAGTTGCAGATCGTCTAGGTGATAACCTTGAAGTATTGTTTAATTTATTGGTTAGCATTTTTGAATTTGTAATTTCTTTTAAATTTAATTTCATATTATCTACTTTATTTGTCACATCTAATAAATGTGTTGAATTCAAATGTTGTTGTTGATTTGTTTTATTCTCCATGAATAGATAAGCAAAAATACAAGCACCACCATAACCTTCAGCTGATATCAATTGTTTATTGCCCATTTTAATACATAACCGAGTGAATACATTCGGTATAGATAATCGTAAATGAATTGTTAACAAGCTGTCATTATTATTAACCTATAAGCAGAACAAGCAGAAATGAATATAGATGCAATTTGTAGGAGGTTTTAAAAGACTGAAACTGTCTTTTTTTTAATGAGACATATGCTCTGCATCCTGTGCGGTCAATAACAGCCAACCAATCAAGATCAAAGTTAACGGGGATAAGCTGCGATGAGTGATACATGAAGAAATTCATTCAGAAGAAGAACAATGAAAGCTTCATGACTAAGGCATCTAGCTAAGAGAACGAAAGTTCATCACAAAGTGTGGATTTTCTGAATACTGACTTTAGGTTAAAAGCATTATGAGACGAAATGGATAGTTGTTAGTAGTGGAATCAATGATAGGCGTTTCGTCCTATTTGTGACTCATGTTTGGCTGGATGTTGTACCTACACCACAGAGTTGATATTCACTTCAGGACTGGAACGAACTCCCTTTTCGTTACTATGTCCATATAGCCACTCGTTTGATGAATACTAATTCATTTAGGTTCGAGTTCCAGGGTAAACAACATCTCTGGGATGAAGGTACATCCAACAGCAAACAAGTCCTAAGTAGGATGAAACGCACATTGTGAATTTCACTAGTAACAACGATTCACTTTTGCTAAAAAGCTTTTTTAGTTTGGCTGATGAATAGGCTAAGAGTTACTTCACTTAAACAATTTACTAAAACCAAGGGGGTCCTAGACAGGTGTTCATTATCAGTATCGTTGTGATTAATTATTGCAGTGTCAGCCATCATGTAAGAAATTTGTAAAGACTTTCGACATTCTCCGAAACATCACAAACTGACATTAGTTAGACAACTACTAAAACCTAGGAAGGCGTGGATGGCTTCACTGTCTTATTGCAGAACTCACCAATAGTATTTTTTCATAACTCTATTGGGAGTTGAACCCAGGAGCTTCATGTCACAATGTGAGCACTAATAAATCGACCAATATTTACTGATTAACATTTCTGGTTTCCCAGTATCTCGTAACTGTCCAAATAGTTTAATAACACTCACTATAGAGCATACTAAATAACCAACCAGAGATGAAACAGGTCTTTCAACTAGATCCTTACTTTGAACATTTACTAATTGCTGCTGAGTTTCATTGAAATCATGAATCTATCAAAACTATGACCAGTGGAATTCAACTGTGTTGGGTGTCAGGCAGTTACCCGACAAAGGCAATGGGTGAGGTTGTACAATACCTTGGATTGATGGAAGTTAGAAATCGATACCGTTAGATGCTGACAGCTCAGTGGTCTATAGGTTACGTGTTCACGCAAGAGACCGAAGGCCTTAGGTTCCATTCCAACAAGCGGAGGTCGTGGACTGGCACTGCTGGTGAGTCCCATACTAGGACGAAACAGCTGTTCAGTCCATCCACGTTTCCAATGGTGTTCTAACATCGATCGATTCAATGAAATTAGCATTGACAATAGATGAGACTGTTAATCGAAACTTTAAGTTAAGTTAAGTTAATTCCAGGAATCCTAGAAAGGAGCTGTAACTGGTGGAATTCAATGATATTCCATGTAAGACAAATATAACTCATTCAATTAATGTTGGTTATACACTGTTACGAATTGAATGGAGTTACGTACGTAAACCATCATATGACCTCCTAATAACTGAAACATTTAGAACCGCCTTAGAAATCTATAGATGAGCACGGTTGATCTGATGCAGATGTGAAGGTTAGGATTGGCAAAGCAAGGACTGAATTTCTACGACTGAAAAATATCTGGAACTCCAAATAACTTTCAACCAAAACCAAAATCAGGATTTTCAAGACAGTTCTATTGTATAGAGTGGAAACTTGGAGAACTACGTAAGCCATCATCCAGAAGATACAAGTGTTTATTAACAGTTGTCTACGCAAAATACTTCAGATCCGTTGGTCAGACAGTATCAGCAACCCCTTACTTTGGAAGAGAACAAACCATATTTCAGTGGAGAAGGAAATCAGGAAGAAGCGTTGGAGTTGGTGGATAGGACACACACTACGAAAAGCACCTAACTGCATCACATCACCTCACTTGGAATCTTCAAGACCAAAGGAAAAGAGGTTTAACCAAAGGACACATTATGCCGAGAACTGAAAGCAAACATCAAAAGAATGAACAGCGATTGGAAAGAATTGGAAAAGAAGGACTAGGACTAAATTGACTGGAGAACGCTGGTTCGCGGCTCATGCTCCTCGAGTGACAACGGGCTTAAGTAAGTAAAGATCTAAATCTTCTTGTATTTAATCACGGGTGAAGCCATGAATTCGCAGTACTTTTAAATAATATGCTCAAGTGGAAAAATGTTACGCCTGCACGTAAACACGTCAACTTGATATACTTGAACTATTACGAGTTTACCTTAGTCCGAAAACGAGAGCCAGGATCGAGAATCCCGTGACACGACATGCTACTCAAATCCGATTATCCCAACCCACATAGTTAGCAAAAATGAGATTTGATATGAAGTAGAACTTGTATTCTACAAGAATTCATAAAGTAGGAGGTTCGAGTCCCGAAGAGAATCGGGACCCCGGACTAGGGATCCGGGACCGAGCCCCGGTCCTTCTCGTGGTCATAAAACGTTAAAATAATGCATATTTATACATTTTGGTCGAATAGGAAACAGCATCGAAGTCTGTGACATTGACAGTTAAGAAGCAACATTTGAAGTGACATTGATAGTCAGGACAACCAATAATAAACAACATTGGAGCACGTGACACTGATATCTAGGACGACCATAAAATTGACCAGTAGAAATTAACCAATAGGAATAGACTAATAATTCTCTTAGGTTATTGGATGAATATCCTAACAGAAAACGACTTTTTAGTGTTTCATAGTATTCAATAGTCAATTTGTCAAATTATATATTACTATTCATTCATTTAAACTTACAATAATTCTACGTCGAAATAATAAATTTTTATCATTCGGTTCATAATAATCTTCTAATTCAATGGTAGAGAAATTTGAATTCAATGAATTCATGTTCAATGGTTTAGGAAGTTGTTCACTGGTAATTATACCTGGTCCAAGTATTTGTAAATTCCATTTTCCACTTGTAATTGGTACCGAACTAATACTACTAGTATTATTATTAGTAGTAGTATTGACTATTCCTAATAAACTATATCCATAATTATTTTCATTTAGATTAAACCAACTAAAAGGAAATTCAATGGATGGACGCATAATTTCACCTTTTTGTATAATACATTTGATTGATTAGTGGTTTTTTTTGTAGTTTGTTAAAATGAAAAGAGAAATTTAAAAGAAAAAAGAAATTGATAATAATGAACATTGGGAAATATTTACTTTGAATTGATTGATATGAAAATTTTCTTAAAAAACGTTTGAATACTACACACTTTTGATTCTTCAGTATAGAGATTTTTGAGATTATTGAGTTTCATCAATATTATGTATCATTCATTGTTAGACCATCATTCGGAACCTGAAAGTACTAGATGGCTATTTCGTTTATAGTATGTGACTCATCAGCAGTGCTAATCCATGCTCCGTACTCGAGGGAATCAAACCTAGTGTGGTGCGAGCTACTTATAAGTAGTATATGAAGTGAGTGTCAACGTAATGTCTGGCAGCAGAAGATGGGGGAAGATCAAGAAAGGAAGAGTGGGAACACAATGGAATTTGTATGAAACGCATGAATAGTGACGATGGATTGATTTTTTGTAACAGGAACAGTCCAGTTCGATATAATGGACTGATATTTTGCAAATAAACAATTTACGATATAGTTTTCCAATTTTACTGAGTAACTCTGTAATTTTCGTTAAATACAATTTGGTTGTCCTCACCTGTGTTCTCTTCACTACACTAGGACCTTTCCTCAAACTCTAGACCACCAAGCCGGCGGCAACCAACGGTGTTATTATCTAACTTCAATCACTCCAAGGCACTACGCCACTTCACTTATTGTCTTCAGTAGGTAACTGCCTACACCCAAAGTTCTCGGGTCCGATTCCCTTGTGCGGAGCTCGTGTATACGCACTGATGATGACTCCTATATCAGGAGGAAATGGCCGCACATCAGAGTGTAAATATCTTTGTGTATAATTCGCCTAAGATTAGTGATTTGAAAAAGAATATTTTATCCCTAACTCAGGTCTCATATGGCCGGAGAAATGAAGATTTCACCATTGTGAAAAAACCGTCTCACGGCATGA